GGTTTCATTTGTAGACTGAGTTTTATATCGGGAAATTCCAAGGAAATCAAGAGTACAGTAAGAAGTTTGGATATATGATTACTATATCAAAATAAATCTACTTCCTATATGCCTCCTAAATGCCATTTATCTATCATAGTTAGAATATATGGAAAGCAAAACCCCATTCAGAATAATGGCGAAAACTATAAAACACTTTGGAATAAACCTAACAAGAAATGTGTTAAACCTATTATATGAAGTAACAGCAATTTCTACTTCAAAGAAATAATTGGATAAATATACAAGTAGTATAAGGATGTTCACTGCAGCTTTGTTTATGATAAGAAAAAACTAGAAATAACCTAGATATTCAGCCATGACAAATTGGTTACATAGTTATAGTACATCTATGTAATCAAATATGTGTAATATAAACATGCAGTGGAATGCCATGCAGCTATTAGAAGAGTAAGAGAGCTCATATGAAAAGATTTCCAAAATATCTACAAGAATCAAAGCAGGTAATAAGTCATTTAGATATAATAACCCTATTTATGTAACTATGCATTTTTACGCACATTATAAATTCAGGAATGACATCAATTCTGCATATATTATATTGTTTTTCATTGACATAGCATCTTGTGCTTTTAGGAAGCAAGGTTGAAATTATTTCCTCATTAATTGTCAGATCTAAAAATTCATGTTAATTTTCATTATCTTAACTGCTAGGAGACGGGCCCTAATTGTCACCACAATTTTTTAGTTTTCGCATTTTAGCGTTTCTAAAACTGCAGTGTGCCTTGCAATTGATGATGTCTTATAAGCACTGTCAGTAGGCTGCACTTGTGAAGAACTTGTTCTTGCTGCTCATGACTGAACTTGGTTGTAGCTGTTCACATCAGCACTTCAATAGAGTTACATTGTTGGTACAGTATCTGATGAGTTTTAAGGGTCTCCTGGTTAGTTTCTGAAACTTTCTGCTGATCCCATCTGGTAAGATCAAGAAGGTACCAGCATCACAACTTACAGACTGATGTCAGCATCTTTGGAAGAAAATCCCATGAAGAACAGAGTAGTATTTTTAAGAGTGTTGCATGGTGGATGGTCTTGATGACCCAAAGGTGATACTGTATGGAAAATTCTAAGCGATTAGAAAACATTGTGCTATAGTTTCATTGGCAGTGTTTTGTTTTGTTTTGTTTTGTTTAGTGGTACACTAATTATGTATCTTAAAATCAGTGACACATTAGGAGAAATATTAATAAAGTTGGATAAATATGGACTGAACAAATTAGGTTTTTTGATTTATTAAACAACTTTACTTTAAGAAAACTTATAAAGAACCAATATTATATATAGTAGAGGTTATTGCTGCATTTTGGGATAATGAGTGAAGTACACTTTATTTTTTTAATACTTTTTTGTCTTTTTCT